CTGAGTCATTTCTTCATTTTTTCTGTATTAAAAATTTTAATCAATATTATTTAATAATCTATGATGTGTTAAGAAGGAAAAAGAAAACTGGCTTGACTTGACCTGTTTAAAATTAACAAGAGGAGAGACTAATGCCATGTAAAAACAATGTTCATACAGATTACTGTTGGATTTATCACTGGATCACCACTACTCATGAGTTATTAAGATGAATGGCATACAGCCCATTGTGTTAGATTCCTTACGGTAAAATAACATCTGGCCCCTCCTTCCAAGGAGCTTAAAACCATTAAAACAATTTTTTTTTCCTTTTTGTCTTTTTTTGTGTCCGGCAACGGACCGCAACCCTCAGTGTCGCGCCCGTACCGGACCGGGACCGGCATCGGGATCGCAACCCTCGGTGCTGCGCCCGCCCCTCGCTCAGCCAGTGAGAGGGAACCGGTCTGTATGTGGGATCCGAACCCTCGGCGGGAGCGCCGCCACACTTCCCAAGCGGCGTACTGTAGCAGTGCGCCACCGAGCCGGCCCTAAAACAATTTTTAAGGTCAACAATATTAAGACATATAAAAAGTACGTGGAAAGAACTATAAATAAGATGGTTTTATTCCTCCATGTAAATATTGATGTCTCCTGAGATACTTAGGACCAGTCTAAATAAATTGCTGATGCCAAAATAAATTACTTAAGCTTAAATTAAATTTAAATATTTTTAAAGAAAAGAAAAGCAAAAAATAGTGTTGGATATTTTGTTTCTCTCCATTTGTTTAAATGTCTAGAGCACAGTGCTAATGGTCAAGGTTGCAACTCTAATCTTACTTTGAAAAACTATGTATCTTGTCTAAAGAAACAGTATTTAACTGTTTCTTTATTGAAAGAAAAACAGTTGAACTGCATCAGTTACCCCCGTGTTGGGACCACAGATGACAGAACAAAGTGGGCAAATCTACTGGCACTAGTGAAAAAAAAAAAAACAAACCCTGTGCCCACAAATGTCTAATTAACACTGGATCAACAACTGAAATAGGAATCACAGCAGCAGCAAACACTTACATAGCATTTACACACTCCTACTTGGTGACCACACATCCCATTTGTTTCATTACACTTTGAACAATAAATTAAATGCTCACTCAACTTCAAAGTGCTTAACATGCATTATCACACTTCATCTTTGAAACAACCCCATAAAGTGTGTACTATTACATTCCCTTTACAGATGTCTAGTGTCACCTCTGCATTCATGGGAAAATATACACAATTACATTATTAGAAAGTCATAGTGAAGTTTCCTTATTCTGTCAGATTGTATTATGGTTATGCTAATAGAGTTCATATGGTTAAAAACCATTATTTCACATTTAAACAAGCATATATCCATGCATTACACTTTCCTAAGTAAAAATAATAATAAAAAAATAAAAAGCTACTGTCAAAATCAACGCGCTCTATTAAATCAAATGTAGAGCTAGAGCCACATCCCACCCCACACCCCTTCTCATCTCCCATCTGTTGCTCTGGCATATCAATATATCTACCTAATGTTCTACGTACTGCAAAAAGTGCTTCTGACATGATTTCTATCGGGGTACTAACACTGTTTAACACCCTTTAAATTAACACAAAATACAAACTGTTAACATAGTTTACATTAACAGTGACAACATCTAAACTGTTTTTCAGTTAGCCAAAATGTGAGTGGCAACAGGGGAAGGAGAGAGAATGGCTTTTCCACTAATTAGCTGTGTGACTGTAAGTCACTAACTTTCCAGGACCTCCACTTTTTCATCTATAAAATGACAGTGCTGGCAATAATACCTATAGTCCAGCGTCTATAGATGACAACATAGTGCCTCTTTACTTCCTTCTGAGGCAGGGCAGTTTCTCAAATTGGGTGTAGGAAGTAAAGGGCTTCTTCTCCAAGAGCTCCCAGTCCAACTGGACATGCAAACCCATATAAGTATTACATGAGGGCACAGTGAGCCAGGTAACTAAAGTTTGTAAGAGGACATTGGCCCTCATCTAAGCTCCAGGAACAGTTACTGGTATTCCTGCAAGAGCTTTTCTGGAGGATGAATAAGATATCAAGGACATACACTTCTCACTGTCCTCTCCACTGCCATCACGCTAATCCAAGCCCACATTGTCTCCCACTAGGACACTTTTCATTGGGCTCCCTGCTTCCATTCTTGCCTTCCTAGAATCCATTCCCTACATAGCAACTCAGAATGGAGTTGGATTACTAACTCTCCTGCTTAAAATCCTCTAATCATTTCCAAGTGCTCATAGAAGACAATCCAGTCTCCTTTCCGTGGCCTGCAAGCTCTTCACGAGCTCCAACTTTCCTCCTTTTATATCATACTCCTAATGGCCCACCTGGACACAGTGCCACTGGCCTACCTTATCTTCCCCCAAAGGGAGCAGAGCTTTTGGCTTTTGCATTAACTAATTGTTGCCTCTATCTGGAGTACTTTCCTGGACTCTTCACATGGTTGATCCCTTCAGGTCTCACTTTAAATGTCATTTTTCAGATGTCATACCTGATGACCCTATTTTACCCTAATTGTCAGCAGCCCTCTCCCCTTACTCTGTCATCATTCCATCAAGTTCATTCTCAGAACTTTAGTTCAGAACATAATTACATTACTTCTGAAATTATCTTATTTACTTACTTGATTGCATGCTATTGCTGCTCTCCTCCAAGCAGTACCCGAGGCCCACCTCTGTTTAGTTTACTGCCATAACCAGCACCTTGCATTGTGCCTAGAAGGTATGTAATAGATATGTGTTGGCTGATCACACATACCATTCATTTCAGCTTGGTTTTTCACAAAAGTTCAGGTGAGGAAAACCATGCTTATATAGGCTTGTCTGAAGAAGTCATAGTTCCTTTTCCTCTAGGATCTAGATATGCTTAAAACAAACAAATCTTGCTTTGAATTAAGCCAGACCAGCAGAGGTACCTACTACCCACTTAAACCATATTGTCTATTAGCTTTAGAATGATTAGAATGATTTTTTAGAATGATTTAGCCTTCTTTGACCTAGCAAGGGATATGCTAAGAAATAGCTCTATGATCTTCAGTGCTGAAAGGAGATTAAGGATCTGACACTGGCTTTTCTTTATAAGGGCCCCAAAGATAAACTTTTTCTCTAGAATTTAAATCAGAAAAAAACTGCCTTGTTCTGAGTATCTAATGTTGCCTTCTCTCATGAACACTGGATCATGAAGTAGACCAGATCCTACCTCTTGGCATGGGTTGCTAGATAAACAAGTCACTTGCAGCTTTGTTACTTAATGTACTGAATTTTGAGGATCACTCTTGCATTTTGAGGATCGCCCCCACTGCTGACTTCCCCTTGTTTTTCCTAGTCTCAATGTTCTTTTCACCCTATTTGCTCATCCATTTAATTTTTATATTTTCTCGTGGTGCTGCCTTAAATGTTTTCTGGCATAAGGCACTTCAAAAAGTTAGTGGAAAAACAAAATTAAAAGATAATACAAAACTTCGCATGAGCTTTTAAAAGTACCCTCGTATAAATAAATTAGGTAGTGAGAGCTATAGGAGCAATATGTATAAAATAATATGGATAAAAGTTGAAGGATCGGCTACTTCTAGGAAAGAGAAGAGAGGATATTTGAGGTGGGTCTTGAACAGTAAATGGGCTGCAACCTGAGAGAAAAGATAGTTAAAGGCAATCTATACAGATTAAGAAATGGAAAAGGCACCGTCTTCATCAAAGAAGAGTGCAAGAGAGATTCCTAAAACAACTCTTACGTTTAATAATATTTACTGAACATTACTATGTGTTAGACTCAGTGCAAAGTCCTTTATAATTTTTATTGCATTTAATCCTCAAAACAACCCTCTAGGGTAGATTTTATTATTATTCCCATTTACAGAGAATGAAACTGAGGCTCAAAGAGGTTAATTAACCTGCACAAGGTCAAGTTAATTAACCTTGTAAGTGGCAAAGTGGGAATTCCTGCAGCCTCCAAGAATGGGGAAGGCACTTGACTACAGTCAGCACATTTACCAGAACTCATTTCTCTTCCCATCTCCCATCTGACAAAAATCTATAGCTCCTTTGGAGTTCTCTGCCTCCAAAGTAAATAGAGAACTAGCACTAACTGGCACACCATCACTCAAGTCAGAAACCTGGAACCATTCTCGCCACCCCACACACCCCCGGTCCCCCGCCAACATCCACTCAAATCACTGAGGTCCTGACATTCTACTTCATACATTTCTCTCCCATCTGTCCATTTTTCTTCATTCCCTCTTGATAGGAGTCCCATCTTGGTCAGAATCCCCATTATCTCTCACTAGGACAAATGCAGCAGTAGCAGAGAGACAGGATGCACAATAATGAAGAGAGAGAACTCTGGAGCCAGCCTGCTTGGTTTTGAGCTCAGGTCCCATAACTTAATACCTGTGTGACCTTGGGCAAGTTACTTAACCTCTTTGTGTCCCAGTTTCATCTGCAAAATGGGGATAATAATTAGAACACTGCCTAACACACACTATATATACTATATAAATGTTAGTAAGAGAGAAGGGAACTTAGCTCCTCACATTCCCTTCCCCTAATCATTCTTCACATAGTGGGTGTGGGTGGGTGGGGGGAGTGTCTGTGTTTTAATGCAAATCTGATCCTACCAAACCAATGTTAAAAACTTTTAAAGGCTTCTCATTGTCCTTAGAAATCTCTGGCTTATAACCTTCCAAATTCTAGCCAATGCTTGTCATCTTTGAGTTTTTCCAACACTTTGGGGACTTTGCACAAGTGGTTCCCCACCTGAAACACCAGTCCAAGTACATCTATTTATTCTTCAAAAACGGGATTAAGAGTAACTTCTTCAGGGAGACTTTCAGATCTTTGTGAATGGATAAACAATCTTTGCTGCATGATCCTACAGTCCCCAACCTTGTACTTCCCCTGTGATAACATCTGCCACCCTTAAAACTAATTATTCAATGTATTTTTACCACCAGACTAACCTTAGAGGGGGAAAAGATCTTGCCTGTTGGTTCTGGGCTGTAATCCCAAGGCCTAACCCAGGTAGGATAAATATCTACTGAATAAATGAAATTGGAATGAAGCAAAGTTAAAATTGCCCATGGTTTCTGGGTCTTTAATAGCCCCTCCCACATCCACTCCTCCTTATCAGTCCACAAATTCGGACCTATCGCTCTTCCTCCCATTGCCCGGCTCCTTAATGTGGAGACCCTATTGGTCCTCAACTCTTTAGAAGTGGCCTCTTCACAGGCATCTACAGTTACTGATCATTCTCTATTCAAATAGATCCAATGCTCCAAGATTTCCCCTTCCCAGATGTCAAAGGACCTCCTTCCTCCCTAACCAGGAACCTTCTAGGATTTCCCTCCAGTTGCCCATCATGCCTGTTCACACTTCCCCAAAGTGTCACCTGATTTTTGCTCTCAGTTCATAGACCATCCTCCTCACAACTGTCCACAAACCCAGCCTCTGTCCGCTCTCCCCACCCAATCTATTCCAGCTGAAAAATCAAAACCACCCTCCCAAAGACACACACACACACGCACGTCTTTTACTGTCCCGATCCTGGGTGGCCTCATCTATATACTGGCTCCTCAATCTCCCAGGTACACTTCTTGGTTGCCCTCCAGATATTCCTTTTAGATGATGTCCCTAGCTTCCTCTCCCCATACCCAGTCCACACCTAGTTCAAGACCTCACTGCAATCCACCCCATTGTGGGTCCTTTTCAATTTGCCCGGAAGACCCCTCCAGGTGTCACCCTCTATATGCCGACAACCCCTAGTACTCTGGTCCTGAACTCCCCCTTCCCAGTTTGTCCTGAAACTTTGAGCCCCATCCCTGGAGCTCCCACTCCTTCCCAGTCCTCCACAGGCCCTCCGGACCCCGGCTCCATGCTGCCCACGACTCCCTTAACCTCCGCCGCTCCGGGGACCTCACCACATCCCTAGACAGCCCGGACGCCCTCACGCCGCTTCCAGCCATCCGGCCCCCGACGTGTGTGCCCAGCCCCCCGACGATCCTCCCGGCACACTTTCCCCGTGCCCGGCGCGGCCTCAGGGAGGGGGCCCGGGGATTCCGAGGGGTCCGATGGGCCCGGTGGAGGCGGCCGGGGAGGCCCGGAGCCCCGGGGAGAGGCCGTGGAGGCCGAAGGGCTCGGGGGAAGAGGCGGAGGAGAACGCGGGGCTCCCGGAAGCGGCAGCGGAGGCCGGGGGGCTCGGGGGAAGCCGAGGGGACCGGGGTAGCGGCGAGCGGGCCTCACCGTCGTTCACGGCTCCCATGGCGTGCGCGGCGGCGGCGGCGGCGG